TCCGTTGAATTTTCTAATCATATGATTTAAATATTAACCAATAAAATTTGTTTCACGTGATTTTATTATAAAAATGACATTTGGCCATAAAATAAATAAGTGATGGCTTTAGACTGCATGCATTATATAATATTTCGCATTATTATTATTAAATTTACTGATATTAATAGCTAATTTTAAGCTGATTTAGGCTGAATCATATCTGAATTGTATTTGAATTGCTGTTGAATTTAAGTTGATTTAATCTTTATTCTTAAGTTGAATTGTGTTCAAATTATAATTGAATTGTTATGTCTGAATTATTTCTATTAACAGAAATTAAATCAAATTTATTAGAATTCAATCACAATTCAAATACAATTCAGCCTTAATTCAGACATAATTTAAACATCTGATTGTTGGTTGAATTGAACTGTTTTAACTAATGCTTTATTATATTTTAAACCAATTATAATTAAGAAATTAATAAAATAAAATTTCTTTTAAAAACTTATTAAATAAATTAAAAAGAATTTATAATATTTATAATATCTTTTAAAATGAAACTTAAAAGTAATCTTTAATTATTTTACTAAAAAAGGTTGTTTTAATTATATAAAAAAATAAGTATAAATATATTGCTATAAATTTTATTGTAATATTAATTAATAAATTTTTTTATTAATTTAATTGATAGTAAAACTTTTTATGTTATACATTAATGAATTTAAAATTTATGAAGTTTAATATAATGCTTTTTGATTGGCTGAAAATATTATATAGTTTTCTTGATAGAGAAAAGGGATTGTTAAATAGATCAAAGAGATTATTGTTGAAGTAATAGATTTAATTTAATAAATTAAACCTATTTTCAACTGTGGTTATTTCTTTATCAATCTTATTCTTATAATATCTATATGTATGAATGTGTATATATGATTATAAAATACAAAAATAATAGAAATAATGGCTTGCTTGATTTTAAATCTTGAGCCTAAAACCATAATCATTTCCTCCCTGATTCTCAAAGATGGATCCTAATAGCGTTTGATCTTCTTCATCTAATTTTTCAACACCGTGTGCAACGTTAGGAGCTGATGGACTTGTATAAGATTTACGTCTAATGAGAATTACAAGAGAAGAGTTAAAATAAGCATATGTGTTATTTTAAAAAAATTATATGATCCTTATTTTAATTTACCTTTCACCACCACCCTTTGATGGCCAAGTTGGAAACATTTCAGGATCTTTTGGTAAGGGACTTTCCCTAACCATATCCAATTCGTTATATTAATCAATTAAATATATACACCAATAGCTTTAGTCATCTTCAACCTACGTGAAATACGGATGTTTTAAAGCCTCTTCCGCGGTTATTCTTTTTGATGGATCATAAGTCAACAGTTTCGCCATTAAATCAAAGCCATTCTCCGTCAAGTATGGAAATCGACTACGTAGCGTATTGTGTCTATGGAATAAAATGATTAAAGTAAAATAAATCTTTGAGATTAATGAAATTATTCAATACATTTTCTAAACGTACGGTTGCTTTATAAAGGGAATATTTTTGGCATGAGGTAACTTTGAAAACCCAGACCATATTTTTTCATTGGGCATACCCAATAATTTAAAAACCTATGAAAAATAATTTATGATATTGAACCAACTATTAATTACTATAAACCATGATCTCATTTTCAATCAAAATAATAAATCACCTTGGTTAATTGATCGATCTCGGTCCGTCCTGGCAGCAATGGTTCTTTATTTACCAATTCTCCAAATATACAACCAACAGACCACATATCTACAGCTGTAGAATATTTCTTTGTGCCCAATAACAACTCGGGAGCTCTAAAACAATTTGTGTAAATAACCATGTTTTGTTCAGAATATATATACGCACGTTAAATATCTCTCCCAATAAACATATACTCACCGATACCAGAGAGTAACAACAAGTTCAGTCATTGGACCTAATGGACTACCATATTTTCTAGCCAAACCAAAGTCTGCGACTTTAATTTGACCTCGATTATTAAGCAAAAGATTAGACGTCTTCAAATCACGATGAATGATCCAATTATCGTGCAACATCGCAACAGCCGATAATAGTTGAAGCATTATGGTTTTGACCTCTGATTGTAAAAAAGGAACTTGCATATCCTCCATAAGACTTTTAAGATCATGTTCTATGAAATCCATTACTATAAAAATCCTTTAATGATAAAAGAAAGAATGAACGAAATTGACAAAAAAAAGACGAGGGATATTTTAAAAGCAAATATTTAACTTACTGTGTCAATGTTTCACCAACCACAATTTCCCTCACATTTACAATATTTGGATGTTTGGCCAAAAGTAATGTATGAACTTCACGTAAAGAAGTGATAGGAAATCCATTTTTTTCTTTATCTAATTTGAGTTTTTTTAAAGCCACAACTTCACCCGTAGTTTTATCTCTGGCACGAAAAACTACTCCATAAGCACCTTCCTCAATCCTATTTAATTTTTCATAATTATCAACACTACGACATCCAGCAAGCATTGGAGGTGGTGGAGTTGGTGCAGGTTTAACAATTCTTTCCACAAATGATTGTGGTGTCGATTCAGGTGCAGGAGAAGAAGTTGAGCTAATGCTCATATCATTAAGAGGTTCAGCTATAGGTGATATTGATTTTGTTGAAGGAGATTGATTAAACGAATCTTCATTTGATACTCTTAACCTTTTAACATTTTCATTCGTCTCTGGCTGAGAATATTGTTCATCTATTTCCGAATCAACTGATTTTTGAAATCTTTTAACATTACGTCTTTTCTTACTGAACCTACGTTCGCTTTCAGGTTCTTCGTGATCACTTTCAGATTCCCATTTTGATTTTTTAGCTTTAGCTTTTGGAGTGTCCGCTGACTGAACTTCAGATGTATCGATATTTTCTAAATTAATAAGCTCAACGGGAGAAATAATACTTTTTTCTTCCATTTTTCCCAAAATTTTTTTTTTTAAATATATTGTAATAAAAATGATCGTCAAAAATCGTTTACGTAATTAATCGAATTAATTTATTTTTCTCTGAAATTCTTGTGTAACGCATACAGATATTTGATCCTGTTGTAAATCCTTATGTAACATTCACGATAAAATTACAAAATGAAACCTAGTAAAAACAAATCAAAAAAAAAAAAAAAAAATCGGCAACAGTCTGTTACAAATCTCCAGATACAGACTTCAACTCCTTTTTCACCTATATCTCAGGATTTGCTTACTTCATCTGTAGCAGTCAATCATACATCTTTACCTGCAGTTTCACAAAATAGTGAATCTAAGGCGAGAGACACAAACTCGCGAGTTGAACTGGTACATTTTGCCGATAACGAAAATCCGCCTATCAAGAAAAAAGCGACTGGGCCTGATTATAATTACTCGAATGAATTAAGAGATAATGTTATAGTCAAACCATCTATAAACGAAAAAGTTAACGGTATCTCCCAAACACCCTTACGGGTGATTGTGGCAGACATGATTATAGATCTTCCACCCAGCGCATTGGAAAATATTGGATCGGGTATAAAAAATTTTCTTAACGGTGTTTGTATGCACGAGCTAGAGCAATTTGAGGGACTTGTTCTATCTTATAATAACATCGAATTTTGTGATAACGGCGGTATTATATTCGAAGATTCCCCGTATACGCACTTTTTCATTCGTGCAGAATTTCTGGTATATAATGCATCAGCCGGGTACAGATTATGTAAGCATTAAGGGCATTTTATCAAATTCAACAATATTCATTTATCAACTGACCCTTTTATTTCAGTTGGAAAAGTTGCAAATCAATCGCTTTCACATATACATCTTTGCCTTTATGGTCAATTCTATGTCAAAGTCCCTCGTCATCTTATCCCCCTTGATGTATTCTTGTGGAAGGATAATGATGAGTTTTATGATGCAATGTTTCTTGATCAACAACTCAACCTAGATAGAATGTACGCTGAGGGTCAATGGGTCTTTTCCGACACTGGGGCAATCATCAGAGAAGATTCTTGGCTTGAATTTGAAGTGATGGGGTACGTTATTTTAATTAATTTTATACAATTTCTTTCTTTTATTTAATGTATTAAAAATTTTTAGGGCTGACACGAATAATGGACAATTATATCTTATTGGTTCACTCCTTCACTATAGTAAGAATAATTATGATCAAGATAATGCGAGTTGTCTTTCTTTGAAAGTAAAGGGGAAAAAAAAGGCTACTTCTGAGGATGTTAATCAAAATATACATACAGATAAGCCTCAAGATTATCTAATATGAAAGATTATTTAACCTATACTTTTAATATATATATATATCATATTAATAAAATGAAGATTGTAGAATTAGGTTATAGAATCCATTTGTTGCTTTATTTATAATTTGCGCAATATAGATATTGTCGTTATATAAAAATAGAAAATAGAAAATTACTTCGTATCACCGGTGTCACGTGTTTACAGTCGACCCCCTCTACATAGGGATGGGGCAGTTAGGTTCGGTTCGGTTTTGGTTCAGTGAACCTGGGTTCTAATATTTAAATCAAACCGAACTGGGTTCTGTAGACCTGTTCCAAATAACCGGTCTGAATTGGTTCAGTTATAACCGGTTCTGTAAACCGGTCAGTTTGAACCATATTCTTGAACCGGTTTTTTTATAATTCCGCAGTAACTGCGCACCTGTACTGTATAATCTTTAACATTTTTTTTCTACAAACAGAAAGAGAGGCAAAACCATATCGATGAAACAAACATTTTAGAAACTGACTGAAAGTTTCCAAAGGACTATAATTCGAACCCAATTTACTTTTTATTATTTATTATATGATTTTTATTATATATTAAGTATAGACTTGTTATTAAAACATTTTGCTAAGGTTCACCTATCTTATTCAATATCTAACTCTTCGTACACAAAATCGCCCTCGCTGTTTCTGGTAGCAAACGATTTTGCGTTTTAGTGATTGTATTTCCAGCAACTGAGAACGCTTGCTCTGATGCAACACTGGTTGCCTGGATTGTAAGGTAGTCTCGCGCCATTAAACTTAAAACAAAATATTCCTTCGTATGCGCTTGCCACCATAAAAGTGGATCTGTTTCTTCATCTACTGGTAGTGCAAGATAGCGGTTTAATTCAGATGCAGTTGAAGTACTTGGTATTTGGGAGGTTTCATTTTGTTGTCGGAGTTGTGCAAAATATTGGCAGGTGGTATTGACAGTTAATGCAGGCGATATTGTTGTCAAACTGGAAACTTATTCTTGATATATATCAAAAACAGCTTGAATATTCATGCGAGCATCTTGTATTGATTCTCTAGAGAAAACTGAAAGTTTGTTTCGAGGATCTAAAATAGCGGAAGTAATAGATGAACTATCTATTATATTTCAATATTCCTCAAGTTTTCTATAAATCAAGGCCGCCATTTCACGTTGAGTAAAGTCTTCATTTTCATTGTATCTTTGCAAATGCTTTAGGATTCCATCGAAGATAAATCGAACATCTCCTAAAGTTGGATAAAATGAGGCAGATAAGTGTTTGGTGGCTTTTTCTATAGGCTCGAGAAGTAAGCAAGTATCCTTTTTTAAAATATATTTTTTATTTTTTAAGGTTAGTAAAAATTGTATATATAAGGTAAGTATAAAATGACAATTGGGATTTGCTTGCTAAATATACTGTATATAGGTTATGGAATTTTTGTAAATTGACTACCACTATTTTGGATTTTGATTAATGTGATGTCTCTTAAACAGATAATTATGGATACTGATATTTGTCCAAATAATCCTCCACTCAAAAAAGCTTTCCGAAATTGACCAGATAGTTCATCTCAATAATTCTAATTAGTTCATAAGTCAACTTTATATAGCTGATTCTATTTACCTTAATTACAATCCAATTCATTTCATTAGAACAAAGATTCCTAACTGATTGATGATCAGTGACAAGTAAACACAAGGCTGACTCGAGTTGTTCTAACTGTTTCAACATATAGTATGTTGAATTCCAATGGATATCAACATCTAAGATAGGCTTCAAATATTTAATCTTCTTTACATTATAAAAAAGTCGAAGCTCGTCACAAAGACAAGTTGAATTTTTTATTTTGGATATTAATTCATGCGACTTTAGAATTTATTCATTAACAAGTCTCATTCCTCTTTTAACTCCAATATTCAAAACATGAGCAACGCATCGATAATGTGAAAAAGTCATAAAAGAAAACTCTGAATTGAGATTAGAAGCAATCTCTCGTTCGCATACTAACATTGCAGATTCGTTATCCGTAGTAAGTGTGAGAATTCTTTCAAAAATTCCAAATTCATCTAAGACACTATAAGGAATTGTAATTGAAGTTAAAATTTAGTTAAATTAATGAAGGAAAAAAAAATTGAATCGAACCTTTTAATTGCCTGTGATATATTAACATCAGAATGACTTATAGAGAAGGGAATTATATTGAGAAGAAAATTACGAAGACACCAATTAGAATCTATATAATGAATTGTAAGTCCTAAAAAAGCCTCACAATTTAAAGTAGATGTTCACATATTGGCTGTTAAAGAGATTCGTTCTGGAACTTTTTAAAGATCATTAATAACCTTCAGTCGTCGGGTTGTAAAAGTTTCGATTATTAAGTTTTTGATTTGATGTCGTTCAGGAATAGAAAAATGTAGACAAAAAATCTGATCATTGCTTTAAAATGTGGGCTATCAACTACGGTGAAAGGTTAAAGATCACAAATAATCTATTGAATAAGATAAGTAGTATGTTCTTTTTGCTCTTTTTCGTTAAAAAGTCCTGTTTTTTTAATCATTAATATTCCTTGTTTTGTAGGTGCTTTTAATTTGTGTTTCTTAAGATGTTTTCGCGAAGTTGAAATACTGCTAGATAATTTGTACTTTGTTGAACATGTTTTACAAATATTAAATCCTGGTGCGTAAGATGGATTCCTATTGTAATGCCTCCAAACGGTACTAGAAGTTATAGTGGATATACTAAAATCAGCTTTAGTTCCTGACTGCCTATTTTGGTTTATTTCATCAGAATCAACGTTTTCCCATTCAATATCATTATCAAAGTCATGGTCAAGGTCTTCCTGACAGAAGTTTTCCATGATACTAACGAAGATACTTTTTTTATCGATTATCAATTTTCACATGTTTAATAACCAATAATCCATCAGTTTAAATTGACAATTTTTGTATAACATAAAACTAATTTAATTTTCGAATAATTTTATTTTTTTATAATAAATAATTGAAGTCATTTCTGTAATTTATTATTTAATTGTTAAGAAAATATGAATATACGAAATGGATTATTTATTTAATCAAGAAAATTAAACGAAATGGGGTTTTATTTATATATTTTACATTTTTTGTGTAAAAAAAAACAATAGATATTATTATAGTTAGATATATTAGTATATTATTATAGTATAGCATTTAAAATAATTATTTTTGGCTAGAACCAGTTCTAGAATTTTAATTAGAACCAGTTTTGGAACTGGTTTTGATATTTGAACTGACAGTTCTAAAAGTTTCAGATTTAAGAACCGGAACCAAAAAACCGAACTTCTAAACTTGGTTTGAACCGTTCCATTAAGCAACTGCCCTATCCCTACCTTTACAGTCATCCCCTATACAATCAATACAATCACTTCATATAAATCTGCACACCTTTCAGTTCCTATTAACACTATATAAAAAACCCTTATATAATTACAACGTTTACCCTTTTGCTAAGTAGACAATTACATGATTTTGTTTCAAATTTTCAGTACTAATATAATATCACGTGATACAGCATTAGCCAATAAAAATGAAGAAAATGAATTAAAACTATAATTAACAAAAATATGTCTGTAAATTCTTTAACTTTCTTAAATATTAGCAATAAAAAAGCAATCAATACTTGGTATATTAAATGTAAATTAATTGTAAATCAAAAATCAAAAATAAATTAGGATTTTTAAATTAAATATATATAATATCAAAAATTCTAAGTTTATTTAATTATAATAGATAATTCAGATTAGCATTATGATTGTTATAATGTTAACCTGAGTTCTGACCAATCAAATTATATGAATATGATTTGATTTGATTTCAAATTTGAGCTAATCATATAAAAATCATATAACTTTAATCATTTATAACTTTTTATCTAGAACTTATTTTATAAATCTGACTGATAATTTAATAGAACTTATTTTAAAAAACAAAATTACTGGTTTATTTCTTTAAATTTTATTTTTTAAAAATATTAAAAGATTTTTAAATGTTACATGTTTATTGTTGAGTATAAACTTCCTACATTATAAATAGGCATAGCAGATATGCTTATATTATCATTTTGATCATTTTGTCAATCATATATAACTAACTGAATTATCACATTATATAAAATCAGCCAATCTAAACTTTAAAGCTTTGAATAACAAAATATACGTTCAAATGAACTGAACAAAACCAATAAATATGATATTTTAGATTATAAATAATAAGATAAATTAAGAGTAAATATATCAGCAGGTTTGATTAACTATCTAAATATATTTTATAATAAATATAATAAAGTTAAAATATATAATGCAATAATTTAGAGCTCCGAATCAGGTCAGGTCAACCTGTGACCCGACCTGACCTGACCTGAAAAATCCAGGTTGGGTAGACAAATTTTCAGGTCAACATCAGGTCGGTCAAGCTTATATATGACCTGACCTGATAAAATTCGGGTCAACCAATCAAATTAAACAAAATAAAATTTTTTTGTCTATTTTTTTTAAAAACATCTTTAATTTTATTTAATATACTTTCATTTTATATTCTAATAAAATTGTTTGTATAATTACTTTATAATTTATTATAATCAAAAAGTTAAATTTTAAATTATAAACATATTTGCAATTACATTGCTTAACAATTTAATTTTAATTTTTTTTTATCTGTTCAATTACTTCAAAGAGATATTTGAGCAATTTGGTCAAAGAAAATC